CCGCTGGCACGTTGTGCAAGAGGCGCTGGCCAATCCAGTCGAACGCAATCTGGCGCGCTTCGTCGTGGGCGAGCAGATTTGTGGCGCCCGTCTAGCAGATACTTCAAGTTGAGTGCGTTTATCCGACGCGACCGCGAGATTGTACCGGCGTGTGCTGGCACCACGCTTCAAGAGCCTCGCGCGTTGCGACGTAGCGCTGGACGCGGACGCGGAGGCTCGACGCCTGCGCTTGGCTTTCGCGGAGCTCGGCGACAAAGACGGCGGCGATCTCACGCCACGTGAGCGCGCTCGCCGGCTGCTTGTCGCGCAAGTGAGCCATCGTGGCCTCGAGTTGCTCTATCTGGCGTACCAAGAGCATCTTTTCTTCGGCTTCCAGCCGCCGGAACGCGCGATTCCGGTGCTTGTTGTAGAGCCGCTTCTTCTCGAGCGCGGACAGGACCTTCTTTTCGTCGCTCGTCGTCGTCGACGCGGGCATCATCATGCTGGGCGGCGTTGTTGGGTGCATCCACAAGTGAATTTAGGAAATAGCTCGAGCCCCACGCTGCGTTGGCGCCGCACAACTCACTGCACACAACTCATCGGATGACGGTGTTGCCTGGGACGTGCGGGCCAATTAGTTGTGCGCCGTGCTCGGATGGTTGAGTTGCTGGTGCCAATTGGCACCAGATGGCGGCGCTCGAGAGAGGATGGAGGATGGAGAGTGGCATCATGCTGCGTCCAACGTGCAGGGTCGCAAGGCTGAACAAAGAGGCATTTTTATCCCCCTTGGTCGTGTGCAAGTACAAGACTTGACCACGCGACTCGCAGGAGGACGGACATCAACGATACGAACGAGCTCGTCACGACGCTCCGTGGGCCGTGTGGACAGCTCATGTGGTATACAAGTATAGTAACCTACCGTTATCTGTGGTGGACAGCATCACGACACGGCACAAAGCGATGATCATGGTTGCTGATTATGGAGACCTGCGTGTGTGGCCATCGGTTTTAGAGTTGAAGCGTGCACTTGCCTTGGTCACGGCCTTGCTTGTACGTTGCCGCCAAGAATTATTTTCCCTTGGTCGCCGCCATGCACATGGTCACCGAACCTTTGTATTTTACAAGGGTCTAATGCCAGAGCTTGATACGACTCTTCTGGCCGCTGCGTGGTCAGAGCTACAAAACATTATTGCACGCTTCGGCATGAGCTTCCGGCATGGACAACTAAGGCACCAGAACAGCTGTTTTCGGCCAACACATCCCTTAACCCCGACTTCCTGCTCCGTGGTAACGTTAAGTCTAAGCACTGGGGTACCGACCACATACGCGAGCTACAAGTACGAGCCCCGATGCGTGTCGATATGTCGACTCGTACTCGATTTGGTCACTCCTTCTCGCTTCGGTCAACTTGATAGGTGGTTGATCGTTGCCATCCCATCGGCACTTCACGCGACCGTTGCGGGCCACGAAAGACAAGATGTGGTGCAGCCACTACTTGTACACGAATGCAATAGCAAACGAGCACGTCGTACGTGGCCATGACGTGGCACCGCGTCGAGCAATGCGTCATGCAAGCCGTCGTGTGACGTCACAGTTCACGTCAACGCCAACCTGCTGCGCGCTGATTGGTGCATACACCACGGGTGGTCATTTTCGGATTTCAATGGAACTGCCGCCGCCGCTGGTGCCGGGCCGCGCCGT